TACTCATTAAACAAACCCTACCCCAACAAGATCCCAAAATTTACTATTTCTTTCTTAAATATAAAAGGATATATAAGGATTTTCAGATATTTGTTGAAAAGTTTATAACATGTGGGGGATGGAAACATAAACTGGATCCCAAAGGACACAAGATAAGAACTAAACCCACATACCTACACAAAGAGATATAAATGAACACAAGCAGAGAAACTGGAAATTATGTTGTACCCCTAAAACAAAACCATAGTGCTACAAAAAAAAGCAACAAAGAAACTTAAAATATAATTGATCAATATAGTTGCCAAAATAAGGCATGATGTGGAAAGATGAATTTTTAATTACTTTCAAAAATTCTTTTTAAAATAAACTACCAAGGAATTGGCCGGTTGACCATTACTTGTTTTCCTCACCATTCTTGTTGGAGGTTAAAGGGGAATTTCTTTCCAATTTTTAGGAAAACAAATTATTTCTGACCTAGAATCTTCTGCATAGCAAAACTACCATCAAATGTGATGGCCAATAGAGATGTTTCCTGGAATTTCAAGACTCAGACTGTTTACCTCCCATAGACCCTTCTTTAGAGGACACAAGAAAGTATTCTATCAAATTAAGGAAATAATACAAGAAAGAAGGTATGTGACCTAGGAAATAGAGCTTCAATCCAGTAGAGGAATTCCCAATTTAACAACTTGGAACTAAAAGCACAGTACAACCATATGAAGATAAGATGAATCAAAATGAAAGATTTAAGGGCTGAGGATGTGACTCAGTGACAGAACATCTGCTTGGCATGCACCAGGACCTGGGTTTGATACCCAGCACTGCTGAAAAAAGAAAGAAAGAAAGAAAGAAAAATTCAAGAAAAGATAAATGGTGTAAAATTGGCTTCAGTGAGCATCAATAAGTTGATTTAAATATAAACTAAGACTAAAGACTTGTGATAATGGTATTGGATTGAATGCAAATAAAATAAACCTTGATGATATAAAAATAATAAAACTGGAATATAATGCTAAGTGAAGTTCGCCAACCACAAAAAATCAAATGCCAAATGTTTTCTCTGATATACAAATTTTGATTCATAATGGAGTTGGTGGGGAGCAGGGGAAGGTTAGACAAACTCTAGATAGAACAAAGGGGAGGAAGGGTTAGTTAGGGAGGGGTCTGGGGATAGGAAAGACAGTGGAATGAGATGGACATCATTACCTAAGTACGTGCATGAAGACACTAACAGTGTGACTCTAATTTGTGTACAACTAGAGATATGAAAAATTGTGTTGTATATGTATAATATGAACTGTAATGCATTCTGCTGTC